GGCTTTGTGTGTTTGCTGTACTCTCCTCTTTGAAGGAAATACAATTTGCTATGTTTAAGCCTCCCCCTGTAATGTCCTAATTTCCCATTGTGGGACTCCATTAGCTGTAGCAGAATGAGTGAAGCAGATATCGACAGGAACAGAGGTTCCAACACGCAGTATTAATGTCTGAAAGAATAGACCGTTACGTTCGGGACAGAAATTATTTTGGAATCAATACACACACATACACAAACCCACACTCGGTGCCCAAAGGGAGGCTAGCAGTGAGGGCCTAAGTGCAGAGATAAACACCATTTGATTGGGTTAACAGAGGCAGCTCTGTTTAGACCTGCCGCTTTGCCTCCCCATAATATTGGGTTGTCTATCTCCTCTTTCACCTCCTGGTTATTGAGCTGGTTCTATTAGTGAGAATCAACTCCACTGTAATACATGGAGGGAGGTTGGCTGTATGTATTTAGACGTGGCCTCACTTGCTCTCTGGCACATCCAGGCTTTCAATCTAAAACATTTTAGGCTGAGGGGAGATTACATTTCAAGCAAAACCATCACTCACTCACTGCATTAATGAGAGGAGGAATTAATTACTTGCATACAGTAAATCACACAAAGTGCACAATGACGTTCTAAACTAAATTCATCAAACAAAAGCCTAAGGATATTATGAATGACGCAGCCAGATGAATTTTTAGTTCTGGATGCTGATAACGTTTGTCCTGAGGGCGGGACAGCTGATCCTTTTGTGACCGTTGCTGTTTTGTGTGTATGTTTGTACATTCAGACCACCAGATGCTGTTTAGTTGCTGTAGGACTATTAAACAAAAAGATGTCAAGGAGAGCAGCAAATTACTCGAACTAGGAACAGAGGACTCTGAGAGGCCTTTGTCTTTATTTAAAAAGGAGTCAGCACTTCTGCAGCATCTTGCTGACAAGACAGACATATTAGAGAATCTCTACATCTCCTCCCTATTAGACAGTTATGTAGGCCAAGAGACCCATTTGCATTTTACTTTAGACTTGCTAGCATCACTGCAAGTTATGTGAAGGCAGTGAAAGCTAAGTTTAAAAAAAAATGTCTGTGGGAGAGAGTCTTTGAAGCTTGGCCCCAATTTAGGTCATCCCAGAATTGCTCAACAACATCTTTGCCCTCAGAAAAAGACAGGAGCTTCTGTGTATGTATATCCATGTGGAATTTGAGGTAGAAAAACCTTTAACTGAGGCTAAATGGGCCACCAGGGCTCACTTTGGAAAAAATGTGCAACTATTTTCTGCACAACAAGTCATAGTGGTCAGACTAATCTGGGATCAGGTGTCATACACTTGAAAGACACCGTAAAGTTGTATTAGAAGTTCTAATGGAATTCTTTGTTTTTCTTTTCTTTTTTTAAAATGAAATTTCATGAAGCTAATATTTTGTAATTGCAGCACATCTTAAATGTAATAAGGCACAGGTTCGTCCACATGAGAAAAATACCATAAGGTAATCAGCATTTTCAACTTTCCAGTGCTACTAACCACAAATCTGTGACATATAGAATCGGAGAGCAATAAGTAAATACCAGAGGTGGGACCAAGTCATTGTTTTGCAAGTCTCAAGTAAGTCTCAAGTCTTTATCCTCAAGTCTCAAGTCAAGTCTCAAGTAATGTCAGGCAAGTCAGAGTCGAGTCTCAAGTCACTGGTGTAAAAGTCCGAGTCAAGTCACAAGTCTGAAACTTTGAATTTCAAGTCCTTTCCAGTCTTTAAAAAAAAAAAAACGAAAAAATAATGTTGCAGTTATATGCTAAATGTAAATATTAGACCATGTAATTTTAAAATCTGTGTTTTTCTCAACACATGACAAAATAGTGAACGTAGAAAATATACACAAATTGTGAAATTGCACCTCTTTAAAATGCAGCTCAATTAAACCTAGCTCCAAGAATAATTTTCACAGACAGTTCTGAGATAAGCTGCATGTTATTCTTGGATGCGGTTGTAGGACCAGCTTTAAAATCGCATGACAAAAATATCATACACATTAAAAAAAACTGTATCACCAACGTAGCCTGGACAACATTTGCTAGTTAGATGAAGTCAGCTATCTCATCTTAGCATATTTATATGCATATTTATAATCATACGGTTCTTGGAGTGAGCGCATACGATCATGAAGTTTAGTAACTTCAGGTCACTGCAACAAGCCCAGGTACAGTTTACCGACGGATGGGTAGTAGTAGTAGTGGGTAGTAGTGGGTAGTAGTGGGATGGGTAGCAGTGGAAATAATTTCTGGTACCCATCACAGAAATGTAGCAGTGACAACAATATTGTATGCTGTAATCGTACTGGGCAATTAGTGATACAAAAAACCTGTTTTATCCTGTGAATAAAAGTATATGTTTTTGTTAATGTACCATAATAACAGAAGCGAAACGCAATATTGTGTCAGGACAATTCACTATTTATGCACAATAAACACAATAAATAAAGGAGCATAGCGCGACAATTTCTGTTCAGCGCCAGACTTGCTTGTAACCTATATCACCGATTATGTTAAGAAAAATGACGCATTAAAAACTAAAAAACACTGACCTTCGTGTAAATGCTTGGAGCAGACTAACCTGTGAGCTGGAGTGTTCTGGGACGTTATATTTGATCATTGAATGGCTGCAATCCAGGCCATCCGTCGTGTCTTTGTTACTTCGGAAACATGGCTCGAACAATTTCTCTTCAACGACGTAATCCGAAAACAACCGATCTCTTTACCCGTCGGCTTCCCGTGGCTGTCATGCGACCGGCTATTGCAGTTAATAATACAACGGCTTCTTGACATTTTTGTGTTTCTTTTTATCGCTGTATAACTGATTTTAATTGAAAGCCTGCGTGCGCTAGTACCGCTTGCCACGAGTTCCCAGAATCCTTTGCGGTTCTACCCGTGAATGACGTCACATTTTCAATCTCTATATAATATGCATGTTAAATTTTATATTTGGGGTAAAATATCAAGTCTTTTCAAGTAAACCGGTTCAAGTCCAATTCAAGTCCCAAGTCATTGGTGTAAAAGTCCAAGTCAAGTCACAAGTCTTAGAACATTTTTTCAAGTCAAGTCTAAAGTCATAAAATTAATGACTCGAGTCTGACTCGAGTCCAAGTCATGTGACTCGAGTCCACACCTCTGGTAAATACCCTCTGGAGCCTGTAGGTGAATGCTGTGAAGGTGATGAAACGGCCCACAGCAATGCAGGGGAGCAGCAGCGCTGACAAGTCACCCCTGAAATGCTACAGGCAACATCACGTGCTGGCTCTGACACAGCCACTGGAGCTAATCATTGTGACTCATGATAAATTCTACCAAATCTACTTTATTTCAGAAGCATTCATAGATACAACAAAATATCTTCAAATGAAACAGTAACTGGAGCTTTTTTTAAGCTCTTTGTGACACAATTAACCTGTGCAAAATTGAATAAATGAAACCTCAACTACTGACACACTTGACATCATATAGTCCAATAAGCCAGCATCAGTCATTACGACAAATATTACATGTTACCAATCTGTAGCTATTGTTCTGCTTAGGGTTTAATGTTAAAAATATAATTATACATGCTATGCTTTAATGTACATCACTGGATGCTGTTGCACTGTATATAAAAGCAAACATACATTTTCTTCTAGAATCGCTTTTGTTTTCTATACAACATGCAGTGTAGTATATGGACATGCATGCATTCATACTGTGTGTAATTCATTTGTGTGTGCATGCAATTAATAAAGGCACTAGATGTGTAGACCGCCCCAACAGATGGCCTTTTCAGCACACTTCCCTCTCAGGCTAGGGCTCTTGGCAAGCTCCAAAATACACACACATACAGAGTCCTGCTCAGAAATACGATCACAGTCCTAATGCATGCTCCTGTAGCCAACCAGTTGCATAATACATTATTTCTGAGACATTACACCCTCATGAAAGATGGAGGTATGAATGTGAGGAGGACCATTTAATATCACATTGGCTCTGTCTTCAGCGATTTGTGGAACCTGTGTGTGAAGGTATATTATCCATGCTTCTCAGGAACATCCCCTCACATCAACAACTCGGCACTTGCTTTGCATCGAGAACAAACTACAGTTAAGTTATTCTATTTTAAGTCCCAAAAAATGGTGCCCAGTTCTTGAAAGGCCACAATGAAAAGCATAATTGTACTCGAGCAGACATGGAGGGCGTATTCACATCATCGCAGCTAATGCCGTGCACAGACAAGTATCATCACTGCAGTGTACATAAAGCATTTAAAGCGATTACTGGTTAACAATGACTGCATGTTCAACATAAGAGCGGGGGGATCATGGATGGTGTCATTCTGTCTTACAGACGCCTACCTGAGTAAAGAATGTGTGGCGAACACACCTATTAATATCAAAGCAGGATTTTACATTGTAGCTGTGGCTACAATGTAGCTTGCCATCACCAGTGTGTGAATGGGTGGATGACTGAATGTAGTGTAAAGCGCTTTGGGATCCTTAGGGACTAAGTAAAGCGCTATACAAATACTGACCATTTACCATGTTGTAGTCAGTTAGTTGCAGTGACATTCAAAAGTAAGCCTAACTATTATTTCCGCAGATGATTAATCTGCTAAATATTTTATATTCAGTATGTTTTGCACACTTCTAATTCCTACTGCACCTGTGTATTTACCACAACTGATCTTGTCTTGTGAGTGCTAAAAACAAGCCTGCACAGGTACACTCCACATCTCACAGATGGCTGAACTCCGGGTTTTATTTTAAATGCACTCAGCGTGTGTTGCCAGTGTTAAGAGCACTTGAGCAGCACCATCCTAACCAGCACTGGCAGTGATCATTGGCTCTTGATTATAGTGGTAGGCTAGCACAAAGCCATGTGTTCATTGTGCTTTTCCCTCTCATTAATCTGCCTCTCTCCGTCTCTCCCTTTGTCTCTCCCTCTCCGTCTTTTTCCCTTCATCCCCTTTTCGACACTCCTCCCTCCTGGATCAGGAAGCCACGTCCCGTATCCCAGCTAGTTTCTCAGCAGCAGGTAACGCAGCAGTTTGTGCTGCCCTCACAGCCCAAAAAGGAAAAGAAGGAGAGAGTCGAGAAGGAGAAGAGCGACAGAGAGCCGCCGCTTAAGAAGAACAGCCACAAGAAGATGAGGTAAGCGAGCTGATGCCAGGTTGGCAGAGTCAGATATTAGAAGGATTCATGAATAAACATGGAAAAGTGCAAAAACTGTTTATGTTGCCACCTGGAGTTAGGCTGTCATGTTTCATAAAGAATTTCAGGAAGTGGGAAGTGGGAGACACCAGGAGTATATTTCAAAGCAGCACCAGGAAGACTCTCTTTATGCAGGATTTTTAAAAATAGCCTTGTATACTTAACGGTCTTTTCCACTCACTCATCAGGCCAAGACTAAAAAACATCGATCGCAGCAGCGCCCAGCACTTGGAGGTGACGGTTGGGGACCTGACAGTCATCATAACTGACTTTAAGGAGAAGGCCAAGCCCTCAGCCACCTCGGCCACTTCCTCCAGCTCCGTGTCATCGGCCGACCACCACAGCCAGAACGGCTCTAGCTCAGAAAACACAGAGAAGGGCCTTTCCCGCTCTTCCTCACCCAGAGGAGAGGGGAGCTCGGTCAACGGAGAGTCTCACTGAGTCAGCCTCCTTGAAACCTTTCCCTCCACCCCGCCTCCATCAACGTCTCATCTGCAAGTCCACAAGTCACTAGAGGAGTATCCTGCCTCTACATTAGAGCTGCACGATAATGAATAAAACTTTTCTTTTTCTCCTGTTTGTTTTTTTTTTTCTTTAAAATTTTTTGTTTTTATTAGAAATTTTTTTGCTGCAAGGACACATCAGATTTGGCGAGTTTGATCAGTTAGCGGATTTTCTACAGCAGTGGAATTGTGCATTTAGAAAGCAATACGACTTTTGCTAAATCTTGGAAGGGTTTTAGTAGTCTACTTGGTAGGTTGGAATTATTTTTTGTGTAGTTGTAAGTAAGCAGCACACTGTCTAAAAGCTTGCTCCTGGAATATTTACTCACAGACTGATGAGGAACTTCTTCAGAACTGACAGGAGAAACAAAGTTTTGGATAGAGTGCTGGATCCTCATGCTTTAGGTTTTCCTCCACGTGCACCTAACCTCCATGATTTGTCTTTTTTCCCTATGAAATGTGGATCCCTGTCCTTGCTTTCATCTTCATAATCATCATCAACATCAGTGGATGGCAGAGGGACTTTTTCTTTCCCCGTGTGGAATATTCTGCCTCTGCCTGAATTCATTACCTACCTGTTATAAACCCGAACATCAGTGTCCCCACACTGAACCTTTAACCTGATCTTGATACTCTTAAGCTTCCCCTGTTAGACTGCCTCTGCTGTAATGATTTTCTTTTTTAAACACAGCACAGTGGTGGCACTCCCTCTGCCACTTTTTGTTGTTTTTTTGTTGTTTTTGTTGTTTTTGCATAGTGATTGAAGCCCATTGGTTACTGAAAGTCCGTTATATCCCCTGGCAGGAAGACACAGTATGAAGGAAAATCCTGTCTTTAAGTTTGTGCCACAGTCAGCAATAGAATAGAATCGAATCTGTCCCACTGACGGTTACAGCGAGGACAGTGTTGGCTCTGTTACATCTGGCTGACATGGTTTGGGTGCAGTTGTCTGATTAGAAGAAAAGGTCAGGGAGAACAAGTGCAAAGATGTCACCTTTATCTTGTGATGAACCATTTCTCTGATGGGAGCGTACTCTTCTGGCATGAGTGCCTCCATTGTAGAGCACTGAATTAATTTGTTATGAAAATGATCAGAATCATATTCTGTGACCTTCACAATCACCATGCCTGAAATTTTCTGAACATGTATATAGGAGATTTCACCATTTTCAAATAACCAAGGGAGCAAATACCTTGGAGAATTCTGCCCAGGTGCACTGAAGCTGTTCTAGACATGTGATCATAAAAAAAAGTTTATTATGGCTTTCTTTGTCCTTTAATTAGTCACCCTTCACTAACTTTCAAATGCAATCAGCTGGTCTTTGTGTCATTCAATTCAGGCAGTAGCTACCACAAGCCTGAACTTGTATTAAGTGATCTTTTTATATATAAACACACTACTAAGTAATTTTAGCATACATGTACCCCAGCTGCCAATTTTGTTCTATGTTACCTTGCAAACCTCTACTTAGTAATGCCAGTTCCCAGGAAGGTTGATGGCGCATAAAGCAGCCTTTAAATGCCAGCTTCCTAGTACAAAATCCATGTTATGTATTATTGCTCCCAGTGTAAGAACAGTGCAGGTCATTTTTTTTTGGGTCAGTTCACCACAAGTCAGCAGGCATCATGTATTCTGCCCAGACAGCAACCTCATGTTCAATTGTGAGCTAGACTTTCATGTGGGAAAACTGACAAAACTGACTACAGATATTTATCAGTTCTGCAACATCATATAGCTTTTATGTTTGTATTTTTATGAACTTTACATAAATGATGCCTACACCAACCACCTATTGTCACAGTGATTGGTAGCAGCAGACCATATCTGGGCTATGAGACGAATAAAAATTGGACTCTTGTTGCTCAAATTTACCAATCCAAGGAAAGGCCTTCGCTGCTTAGTATACATCTGCAAGATGAATAAACTACTGACAGAGCTAAAATCAATAGAATCTGTGCTCTGATTCATTGAGTTGATATATTTTTGCCCTCTAGCTATTAAAAAAATCACTTAATGCAGCATGTAGAATTACGCAGGCTTCTTCCAGATTAAAGTCGGCGTGAATCTTTGCTGTTTTTTTTTTTTGTTTTGTTTTTCACATCGTGGCTACATAAAGTAAACAAATCCTGTCCCGAGTCACTGACTTCCTTTTGGATCACGCCGATCACATGAACCCACAGACCGATGTACACTCAGCATGCTGCCTTACAAGATGCACATCGTCAGTTTGAAGCTTTTATTTGCTGTGCTTTTATTTTCTTTAAGATCTGTTCCAAAATAGGTTGATCCTGTGTGTCACTGGGACATTGTCAGCTAAACACAGTAGATGGTAAAGCTGTAAGTGACACCTGTGTTCGCCTTGTTAATCTCTGCTTCAGCTTCTCCTTCACCTCCACACTTAAGCCCGACGCTCTTCCCCGCAGTCGGACACTCGCGAGTAGATGTATACGAGTCTCAGGAAGCGCAGTTTGCTCACTCACGTGCTGTTCAGCATCCCAGTGGAGAACCAGAGGATGCTGATGTTGCTCCGCAGCTACCCTTTGGATGCAGCGTTGTGCTTGTACAATGGGGGAAAATGAGTTGTGGACTTGCACTTTTACAAGCTGTATGAGTGATGTCTTGCAGTGTGATGGACTTTATTTAACTGACGTAGCAAAAAAGGAAAAAAAAGAAAAGAGGGGGGAAAAAAAGGCAGAGCTTTAGAGTATTCAAAACTCCCAGCAGAACAACTATAGATCAACCTAACTACACACAATAACTTATAAAACATGTAGAATAATTAAACAGATGAAATAGATATTTCTAAACTATTGTACTACAATGTTTTGATGTGGTTGTATTATCCATCATACCAGTGTTATTGTTGAGATTTTTACTCACTATTTTAGAGCGCATTCTGAGAACTGTCATGGCATGATGATACTAAGGTCTTGGTATATTGTGGGAAAGGTTATGTCTCTTAGTTTGTTAGTATTTGTTTCAGTGTGTCGGGAGTGTCTCCTCTTAGGTTCGCTACTCTAGCTGGGACTAGGCGTGTGAGCCCGGGGAGAGCTGCTCTGATGAACATTTGCTCCTTGTGGCAACAATGGAACACTTTAAATGTGTTAGTGTCACTTATTGATATAGTTTTTTGATTTTTTTTTTTTTGTTGCCATGCTCATTTGTTTTAAAATGTGTGAACTTGTTTATTACATGTCTGAATAAGAAAATTACAAAATTCAAACACACAAAGCTGCTTTCTTGTGCACACAGCTCTCATTTGTCACTTTGTTGCATGCAGGCAAAGGCATGTTGGGGCTTGCCTTAGCACTCAATATTGTAGTCCTGCACTTTTAATTTGAAAATTCAAATCAAGACTTAAATATTAAACAACCAGCAGCTCTGATGTTGTTATATACATCAGATAAGTGACCTTTTATGTCCCTTAATGAAAATGCAATTGAAATTCAGGGTTGTCAGTTGCAACCACATCACTAAGGATGATTTGTCACTTAAAGCCACACTGAATCAAAGACACTGAATGAGTCTTTTCAGAGGTGAGACCCGTGGAAAGTTGCTGCAGACAGGGGCTGGAGGGGGGAGGGATGGGGGAGAACTCTGCTATTCGCTCCCACCCTTCCCCCAACCTCCTGCTTTTGTTGAGCAAGCTGCAACACTAAACACACAAAACATAGATAAGATAAGGAAGTTTGTTGCTGCCGCCTTCAAAATAAAAGTGTAAAGACAGCCACGACCTGTTTCGGAGCATCAAAGCACAGAAAGTGAAACAGCATAAGAAGAAAAGTATAACTTGTAGACTTGTACATTTGTCCAGTTTTTAGTGTCGAAATCGGCTGTGATGCACACTCAAAACATAGTGTAAGTTTTTCAACTTAAATTGTTTCCCAAGAGGTCTTATTAGGCATGCTTTCAAGTTAGTTATTTAAACATGAATAAATAAAAATATTGATTGCCTTTTTAGTTAAGCAAGATTCTGACAATAAGCTACTGTGTCCAAGATGAAGAATGTCATTTTGTTGGACATAAAGAGAAACTGTGCTCTGAATTGTTCTTTGTGTTCGTCAAGATGGCTCTGAAGTTACCTATTTCCCCATTTTTCTAAGTGTACTTTAAAAAAAAATTACGCAGGTTAGATCAGATAAATCCTTATACATACACAGTATCCAGTAAATAAATAAAAGGATCAGAACGGCGCATATATATACACATATATATTATTAATTACTCAGAATTTTTAATTTTAATAATAGTATTATACTGAGTCAGAATAAATAATAAAAAGTCTTGCTATATACATCAAATCATATATTGTCTTCTTATTTTATTTTCTTAACATGAGCATAAAGTCAGATAAGTAAGACTTTTGACTGTTCTCCACAAACCTTTAAAGGTATAAAAACAACAACAACAAAACCACCGCCAGAGGGCGTAATTGGTGCTGGAATGAGTTTAATTTTGTAAATCCCCGCCGGAAGTGCGTTACCGCGGCGTCTAGCTTAGCGGTCTATGATTAAATGCTAGTTTCTGTGTAATGATTTCAGCTCCGAGTTGCGTTTTGAAACTGTATAATGCGGCGGTACATGCGTGCACTGATGCTGTGCATGGTGTTTGCCGTGTTTTCGGGCTTGTATGTTTACAGCAGGCTCTTTTACTCGGACGTGGCCGCCAGAAGAAACGGAGCAAAGAAGATTCTCATCCCACTGCGAGCGTCTGGAGCCAGGCGAGGGGTCACGGATAAAAACGCACTCTCGTTCAATTGGTAGGATTTTCAATGTTTTAATAAATCGAAACAACGTAGTTGTGCTTCACGGGACAAGCTGTAAAACTCAGAAAGCATGCTCAGGTACTCATGTGTAATCACTCAGGCTACAGGAATGCGACTCGGTCATAGGGAAGCTCAACAAGTAAATATTTAGACATGCTGCACAGTACCTGCTTAGGTTTGCACTTTAACGTGCAGGTCTCATGTATAAAAGATATGTGTCGATATGTCAGTGATGTAGGATCTGTGTAAACCACACATTGTGTGTCCCACAGCCATATCTTTGGCAAATGAATTAAAAAATGTGCTAGTACAAAAATAACTGACGTAGCCTAAATGTGTGTTTTTATCACGCTGCTTTAAATCAACATGGTGTCCACACATGGCTGTGTTTGCTATGGTTCAGGTTTGGGCAGAGTAAAGGAAGAGAAAAGTGGGTACTTCATACTAAATGGATTAAACATCTGAATAACGTGTTGATATTTTCTGTCACAGATTTATCTGAATAATCACAATTTCTACTTGTACCCAGAAAATAATGGGGGGAAATGGCTCAGGATACGTTTTAGATAGCGTCTTTGCATATTTAATCCAGCAGAGGGCGCCAAATACTGTTGTACAGCGTAGTGGTTTAAGTATCCCAGCCTGAAGCACAATTTTTGGGGAGATTTTATTTTCTATTAAGGGGGTTAGAAAATACATTTTGAAACACGTTTTTTAGTCCAGAATTTAAAAGTTTCTTTCACATAAGACAAAGAAAGGGACAGTTCTTCACCGTAGTGACAAATGACTACTTTGGGGATTTATTCACGATTAGAATTATTGGGTGCAGTTAAATACAGGCATGGCTTAAAACAACTACAGTGTGAGTGCTCTAGAGAGATCAAGTCACACTCACCAAATCCTCCACCCTTTGCACTAAAGGAATATAATAAATACTAGCTTGCCTCCTATATGGTAAGTTTATTACTGTTATAGGACTCAGATCATCTTGCCCAAAATATCTCTAGTGTGGCTCTGCCCGAGTGTAACGCACCTCCAATTACGTCTTCTCCCTCAGGTACATCATGCGTCAGCAGGAGGCTGCTGGTACCAGGCCTGAACCTCCCATGCACTTGGCTGTGGTGGCCTGCGGGGAGAGGCTGGAGGAGACGCTCACCATGATTAAGTCTGCTGTGCTCTTCAGCGTCAAGCGCCTCCATCTGCACATCTTTGCAGAAGATCAGCTTCACGCCGGCTTCATTGAAGCTGTGAGTGGGTAACTTTGCTTTTGAAGCGTAACAATGAAACCTAACATTGGTAGCCATTTCTGTTGAGTGCTGATGATTACGAATGCCATATTGTGCATTACTTCAGGTAGCAAAACCAGTGCATTCATATCTGTGTTCCAGTTGGAGTCGTGGCCTGGTTTTATTCGCTACAGGTTCAGCTACAGAGTCTACTCCATCAGGTTCCCCAATGAGAATGCAGCGGAGTGGAAGAAACTCTTCAAACCCTGCGCTTCACAGCGACTCTTCTTACCTGTAAGCTGTAATATTATTTTAATTCTGAAGAGTGAAGTTGAAAAATGTATTCGTAGTGATTTTTATTTTGGATTACTTCAAGTCTGTGAAGTATGCTTTTCTGCACTTACATGAGCATCACAAATATTCCGTCTTTTGTCCTTTCCCAGCTCATCTTAGAGGACGTTGACTCTATTGTGTATGTGGACTCAGACATCCTCTTCCTGCAGCCGGTGGACCTCTTGTGGAGGTTCCTGTCTGACTTTAATTCTTCTCAGCTGGCTGCTATGGCTCCAGAGCACGAGGAGCCCCGCATCGCCTGGTACAATCGCTTTGCCCGTCACCCGTTCTACGGCAGGACGGGCATCAACTCAGGGGTCATGCTCATGAATCTGACACGTATGAGGAGCATGTTCTTTAAGGTGAGGTTGTATCGGTGTATTACCTTTAGTGACCACAAGATGTCCTCCTTCTCTAGTGGATTTGCACTCAAGTCCATGAAAGTGCCAGTGCGAACCTCCCTGCACCAAAACTGTAAATATAATCGTGTTGTGTGTGTGTGTGCTTGTCTGTGTTGACAGAATGACATGACATCAGTGGGGCTGCGCTGGGAAGAGCTCCTGATGCCTCTACTCCAGAAATATAAACTGAACATAACATGGGGAGACCAGGACCTACTAAATATCATTTTCCACTATAACCCTGGTATGACTGCACGCATTTAGACACACACTAAGTTACTAATTCACAGCATATCGTATCTGTAAAAGTGTACAGAATACCAAGTTTGTGCCTCCTTTGTCATCTGCTTCTGTCTGCAGAGTCCTTGCTGGAGTTTCCGTGCCAGTGGAACTATCGCCCGGATCACTGCATCTATGGCAGCAACTGTGCCTCAGCTGAGGAGGATGGCATCTACATACTCCATGGAAACAGAGGAGTTTACCACGACTACAAACAGCCTACTTTCAGGGCTGTTTACGAAGCCATAAAAAAGGTCAGCATGCCATGGTGTGTTTTTGGATTATGTGAGTGTTACTGGGATATTTATGCTGCTCAGAAAAATTAAAGGAACAATCGTGGTATGGTATAAATATGTGAGTGTACCAGCATGTCAGTGAAACTTCTGGATATTGATCTGGTCAGTTAAGTAGAGGGGGTCGGTTGCTCCTTTTTCATTAACACAAATCAGTTTCAACTGCTTTGTGTTAATGAAAAAGGAGCAACAATGAGACAACCATGAAAAGAAATGGTTTCACAGGTGGAGGCTGCTGATAATTTTCCTTCCTTATCCTTTCTGAATATTCTTTCACTTGTTTTGTGTTTGGCTAGTATCAGTGTCACTGCTGCTAGCTTGAGGTGATACCTAGACCCTACAGACGTTGCACAGGTATTCCAGTTCTTCCAGAAAGGCACATCAATAGGTGCCTTTGCCAGAGGGTTTGCTGTGTCTTCCAGCACTCTCTCAAGAGCATAGAGAAGATTCTAGGAGACAGGCGGTTACTCTAGGAGAGATGAACTGGGCCGTAGAAGGCCCTTAATCAATCAATCAATCAACAGGACCAGTATCTGCTGTTTTGTGCAAGGAGGAGCGGGATAAGCACTGCTAGAGCTGCAAAATGACCTCCAGCAGCCCACTGGTGTAAATGTCTCTGACCAAACAACATGAGCCTGGTCTGTCGGTGCCGTGCCATTTGCCATAGAATACCAGGATTAGCAGGTCCACCACTGCCGACCTGTGCATTTCACAGATGAGAGCATGTTCACCCTGAACACACATGACAGACGTGAAAGGGTCTAGAAACAGAAACGGCAAAAGACAGTCGTGTGTGTGTGTGTATGGTTTTAGGGGTTTTAACAACACACAGTGATTATATACTTTTTAAATCAAAATCAAATCACTTTTATTGTCACATCACATGTGCAGGTACACTGGTACAGTACATGCGAGTGAAATTCTTGTGTGCGAGCTTCACAAGCAACAGGTGTGTAAAAATACAAAAGACAGATATTGTTAGTGGAAGACAAATGGATAAGTTTACATTCATATGACAGAATGAAAAGCAGCAAAAAGCTAATTTCAAAGTGTCCCAGCTTTAAAAAGTGATGTGTTGAACCTTTTCAACGTATTGTAGCTGCAATTTAGCGCAACGTCTGATGGAAAGCCCTTTTATAGCCCCTCTGAACCCAGAGACACACCTCGTGCCCTGATTCGTTCCCCTCCTTGATGAGATTTCAGATTGGTGTTGACCCTAAAGACTAAAAGTGCTGGTGACTTCAGATTGTCTGCATTGGAAGACACAAATCTCCACCACTGGCAGAAGGTTGGAGGAAAGCTAATTTCTCCCACGAGGATGTTTATGGGTTGCTTACCAGCAGTGTAATGATATTGACGACATGAGTGGCATTTACTTAATGAAGCCATCAACACTGGGAGCCTCATTGCTTTCCTATTGAACATAGATCAGCGTAATGCCTTATCTATACCTTATCCTTGGCCTGCAGTTAAGACTGTGGCTTTCCAGGACAGGATCAATTATGGCAGTAGACACATTAACCAGCACTGTATGTGCAGGTGGAGACACCCACTCATTCTGCACAATACTTTTATAGATTTAAGTCTGGTTTGCCAGAAGGATGCAAGAGTATGGATTAGTCTTGTGCGTTTAATAGTTCCTGAAAAAACATTTCATGCTTTGAGCTTGTTGTACAGCTACACTTCATAGTAGCAGGACAGTACCATGTGCATTTACCAAGAAATGTATGCAAGTATGTATTGTCACAGTCACTGTTGTGAAAGCAGAAGCGCAGCGTTATCCCTGCAGGGTTGTGCTGATGGACGGTGATGTCAAGGATAGACGACCCCAGTCAAGGCAGCTTTTATCAAATTTCTTATCAAAACCTCCACAGTGGAAGTGCCACACTCCCTTTTCTGGTTGAACAGCACATGATGAATGAATACTAATACAGAGCAGGTGTGCAGTCAGGTGACTTGGGGCTGAGGCACAGTGATGATCACTAGGGAAACGGTGAGAAAAGGCAGGTTCTGACGGTGCCTTTACTTTGAAATTTCAGGATGTTATTTACAAGACAAACTGTGGCTCAGAAGGAGCAGCAAGAATGAGAGCGTACGTCATACCCTCTAAATATGAGTGAGTTTGTAGACGTAGACAATAATAACAGCAGTCACATTGTGAGATGACTGCAGGACTACTACAATAGACCAATTTTCATCTCTCACATTTTGTGCCCAGGAACCACTGGGTTATGCAACTCGTGTATATATAAGCAGCTACACAGCAGGACAAAGGCTCCTGAATGCATCATTTGTGCTAATGCTAAAACTAATGATTTACTTCTTTCCCCCTTTTTTTGGTTAATATTTTAACCAGGATCTTTATTCTAGCAGTTAATATTCCCAATAAACCGGAGACGGTGTGTGTAAGTCAATGTCCATGCTCTGCAACCACACACAAAGAAGCGAGGGTACGGCCCCTCCCCGCCCCTGCCTCCAACACAGCACATCGGCCTGTCTGTCGTAAAGCATCTCCTCCCTCCCGCCGCTGCAAAAAAAAGCTGCGCCCAGGAAGCAGCAGTTAAATTTTTACAGCTGGTGGCACTTTTAGAGTTGGAGTGTTCGCACCAGCAGCGCCCCATCAGCCGCACAAAATCAATACACCCAACTGTAAATGCAACTTTATGAGCAGCGGGTGTGTATAAGTATGCACTCATAAAAACCTCTTGCTCTTTGTGACCGAATATCAGACCCAACTGCAAGTAAATGAGCTGGCATAAAAAATGGTAATTCCCCATTGATTTCCTCAGAGTATTGTAAAGGGCCCTTCATTATTGGGAAGACATGAAATTCTTCCTCTAATCCCTGGCTGTTACTGGATTGTAAGCCTATAGCATAAAACTGACCCCCATCAACACCCAGCGGTTTATGTGCAAGCCTGGCTGACCAATCAGATTTGGAGTCCCTCATGATTGAAGCTGATTTAGTTTTTAATGTATCTAAGGAAACGCATCTTCTGAGCACAAATTCAGCTCAGCACACCACTTTGCTCGCTCACTTGGGAAATCTGATCAGTTCTGCTGCTTCTCGTTTCACGTTTCTGAGCCAACTGCAGAGCCATAAGGACACTAGCATACTTAAGAAACAGAAATGGGATAGTGTAAGTTATTTTGCCTGCGTGTTGGACACAAAGGTCTCCATTACATGTGAAATGCCAAATTTGATATTGAGCTTTGATTCACACAAAGAGAATGTTCTTTAGTTTTTAGTGTTTTTTATGTTCTTTAGGCTTTTGTTCAAGAGGGAGAAATTAAATGAAACATGCGTTCCTCCTCTGGCTTTCTGTATATGCAGGGAGGTTTGCGCTCCTCGCTTTATGCCTTCCATATATTGGATTGGACAGGCAGAGAGGTCATAGAATACAGAACAGACTGCAGATTGAAATATCACGCGTCTTTTCTTTGTCGTGGTCCAAGCTGAAACAGATTAAAGCTTTGGAATTGAACTCAAAGTTAAGCTGAAAACACAAAGCCAGACTTAACGAAAGGCCTGTTTTGTCGTTCCAGTACACTTTCGGCACAGACCCAGTGACGTCTTTGTTGGAGCCTTTAGAAGAGGAACTGTTAAAAACGACACACACTTATTGTGGTAAATCACACACACTCTTTACGAAGAGACTGAGGAACAGTGTGGCAAAGATCAACAGGAAAACTCGGGAGCGGTGACGAACCTGAAGGACAATGACGGGACACGGGCTTTATGGATGATGGGCTTTTGCAAGGAATTGAAGTCGTACCTGCTGATCTTGAAAGCCTAAACACCAAAAAAAATCGAATGAGTGAAACTTTGTCATCAGCTGCTTGAGTTGAGGCAGCTGGGCTAGTCTTAGACTGAGACTAATGACTGCTCAGCTCTTGTAAACCACCAAGAGTGACGCAAAAGCTCTAAAATGGACTACAATGTAGAACAGGCCAGACGGGCTTGTAACAAAGCTCTGATCTTGGCCGCAGATTGAAACAAGGACTTCGCTTTTTTTTTTCCTTTCATGAATTTTTAAAATTGAGAACAGAAGATTTTTTTTTTTTTTATTCCATATTGGAGAATTTATTTTGAACCTTGTGAGCCACAAGAGAAAATAATCTCATCAAAACTGGACAAAAAGGCTTTCTGCAGCGCTCAGTTGGAGAGGCACATGCACTGGACCACTTTTCTTTTTTTGTTCAGCTTCCAGAAACCACTCAGCAGTTATTTATGAGAAAGGACCATGGAGAAAAAAAAATGCGTACAATGTACTGAAAGTATGTGTCAGTATACACATGATGGAAATGTGAGTTTAAAAATGGGGTGAAATAGCTGTCTAAATATATATTAGCATATAGTTGTGCTGAAATAATTCTGGTGAATGTGCAAATAAGCTGTGAGCTCTTTCCTGATGCCAAAGTATTTGTTTGTTTTAAATAGTTTTTGCACTGCTGGGTGTTTTTTTTTTTTTTTTTTTTTTTTTTTTTTAATTGTTCAAATTTAAAATGTTATAACTGCGAGTGTGCATGTGAGTGTGACGGTTTTGTGACAGTAATGTGCGTCATTGTTTTGTTATGTTCAAAATAAAAATGGATAAAGATCATTTCAGCTTGCGACCACTAGAGGGCAGCAGTTTTTCATGTGTTCACTAGTGCCTGTAGAAGAAGTTTACCCTTTGATGGGGAGAATATCAAGTAAACTGCCATAAAGCAATATTAAATAACTCATGAGTCTGGAATGTAAGTTTCTTGGTATTATTTAATAGGAAGACAAATTCAAGCATCTTACGTTACGTTTAATTTTTAGCCGTATAAGGCACTTGTCAGCTCTGCCCGTCTCAGTTGAAAAAGTGATTCCAAGGCTTCTTCTGACAGATCGATGGACTTGCCAATAATCTATAAACTGGCCTTCCGAGATGCTGCACTGGCCCTGCCTCAGTATCTGAGGTGCTCATAAAGTGTAAGTGATGGCCCAATAATACAGCTCTATAGATGTCTGTCTGTTATACGGAGATGAGTTTATGCTTATTCCCATTAGGCGGGGGCATACAATTGTCCATTTATAGCCTGAGAGGTAGTTTGATTTATTGCACCAGAGATATCCTTCATTTATCACAATATATCCTAGAGCTTATCAATTACCTTTATTGACCTGTGTGCTTAAATGCAACACGTAACAGTGCCGGGTCCCCAGAGAGACCGAGGGAGAGGGGGAAGACAATGGCTCGAACCGAGCACCATCTTGAAAAATTCAATATCGTCCATCTTCCAAGGTTTCATTTTCCCGAAACTGCGTGTTTTATATCATAATAAATAACTCTGGTTTTATGTCTTTTTGTGCTCATCGCGGATGGGAAGAGAAACTATTTAAATATGTGACCTCCAGTGTTCAGAGTGGTTCGAGTGGAAGATGCAGAGGGGAAAAAAATGGGCACATCGCAAAATAATTAGATGTGTCTGTTTGCGATGGACAAAAAGAGAAATAATGGGGAGGGAGGGGTAAATCCAGGTAAGGTCGGCCATTTTTCGCTACTGTCACAGGACAAAATGTTGAAGAGGAGAGATGAGTGCACTGCAGGAGGACAGAGAAAAGGTTGATGGAGTGTGTTGGTGATGAAAGAAAAGAACGAGGCTGTCATAGCCAATACAGCAATTAGAGCACTTTGTTGCTTCAGAGCTTTATCTTTTGAAGGTTTTTTTTCTTCTTCTTTTGCTTGACAACAGAGTTGAACCTCAAAATAGTATCATCAAAAGAAAAAAAGAGAAGCAGATTCAGAGAGAAACATATTTCAGGTTTATGGGCTGTCTCATGGAAGAAACAACACACTGTTTACTAATTGCATCTCTTAACCAGCACAAAAGCACAGTATCCTACATTTCCCTAAACATCCGATGAGCTGTTGGGTTACCCTACGTGCTGGAAGTTGTACTTATGAGGATTTATAGATAGACGTTTAGATAAAGGTTCACAAGAACAGTCTGCTGTGAATTAGGCAAATTTTGCTGCTGATCTGTTTGCTGTGTGTGGATGGAGGAAGAGACACTAAAGCCCATTTCAAACTAGCGCACGTTACCATGAATGAATCTGACTGCATCTAAATATGTTAATTACATGTTTGAATGAGCCGTGTAGGTCACTGTTGGCATTTACATCAGTTTCAGGACTTCACAATTAATGTCTCATTAATTGATACACACGAGATTCCAGTGATAGATGACTCTTGTGTGTCTTTGTGAGTCTCTCAACCCACCAAAATGCCATAAACAGCAATGAGGCTTGTATTATTACTAATCTGGCATTAACATGCACATCTTATCCAACTGGCAAAGTTTCTTATTTGCAGCAGCACTGTAAATTTGTAAATTTTTGGTATTGCTAGTTTAAAAGTCCCTTTCTAATAGGCATGTGTGGAAGTGGGGGATAGAACAGCTGTTTTGCACCTATGGCACTGTGGCTCTCCATCAGTGTGGGTATGTCTGAATGAGGCTTTGAGAAATGTTAATGTAAAAATAAGATAAATCTGAATGACAGACTGATGAAAAGGGCTTTAGAGTCTGCAGCTGCTGTGATATTTCGGTCTTGGACTGTAGTGATGAATGACACACCAACACTCAGAGACCTGCGCAAGGCTTCAAAAGTCTGATGTGATGTGCCTGCTCATACAGGACCACAGATTAGGAGTCACTTGTGATCAGAGTTAACCGAAGAAACAAGGACATCCAGCTTGGAGAAACATAACAATGTACACAACTGTTAATCTTCAGAAGCTTCAGAGTTTATACGTTTATTCTGGCATTTTCACTGAAAAAGAAATCACAAAAAATAAAAAGTGAATAGAGCACTTCTGAAAGTTTTTAAAATGTTCGCTGTAGGGTGAAGTGTCTTGCCCAAGGACACAACGACCGAGACTTTCCAAGCCGGGGCTCGAACCAGCAACCTTCTGATTACAAGGCGAACTCCCAACTCTTGAGCCACGATTGCCCAGCCTCTAGTGTCGCTGTGATTGGCAAATCATCTATCCCATGCATCAATCCATCCATTTTCCCATCCATGCTCCATCCATCCATCCATCCATCTGTCCATCCATGGTCCATCTGCCCGTGCTGTATCATCCATTCGTCCGTCCGTCCGTCAAAGCATGCAGGAAGCTACATGGCATGATTCAGTAGCTTGCAGAACCAACTTTGGCAGCAGTAACTTGAATTTATTGTTTATATACAACGTTATCAGCCTCTCACATTGTTGTGGAGGAATTTTGGCCCTTTGTTTGATTGAGGTTTGCAGGCATTACTTATTCACAGCTTTCTTAAGGTCCTGCCACAGCATTTCAATCGGGATGTGGTCTGGACTTTGGGTGGACCTCTGTAGTACCTTGATTTGTTCCTCTTTTTTTGGCCATTCTGTTGTAGATTTGCTGCTGTGCTTGAGACAGTTGTCCTGTTGCATGATCCACTTTTATCAAGCGTTAGCTGTCAGACAGATGTCCTCACATTTTGTCCTCGAATACTTTGATATACACAGGAGTTCATAGTCAGATCTGTGTATTTGGTCCAGGTCCTATGCTGCAATGTAGGGTCTTGTGTTTTGATCAGATCCAACTTTGCAAATCTAAGTGCTGCCATGTTGTCTTTAGAGAAGAGGCTTTCTCCTGGCAACCCTTCTAAACCAGCCTACTTGTCCAGCCTTTTTCTCAATATACTGTCATGAAGTTGAACGTAGCTCTTGGTTTTTTGCAGTTTCTCTGAGCATTGCACTTTGGACTGCACAGAGTTCTGTTAAGACTTCTTTTTCACATGACTGTAAATACCATGAAAAATCTAGGCTATTAATAGTGACATAGTTAAATTACTTTAACTACTACTAATTTGCTGAACTACCATGTAATGTTGCTTTGATTATAAGTTCATGTGTCGTATCTTTAAGTCATGCACAAGTTTGCGTAAATCCTTTAAAGATGAGATGAGTTTGCTTAAGTTTCTAGGTAAAGTCAACTTAATTTAATCGATAATATTAAATTAATATTAACTTAAAGTAATCATGCCTTTCTGTTGTGTTTATTAATACTCATTTGTCCATAAACACCTAAAGAAACAAAAGAAATCATCACGTTTTGGAGCATTTCTTACTGTTGAGGGTTTTGTTTTTAAGTTTTGCTCTTTTGTTATACTTATGAAATCTGGCATACAGTATATGGATACATAACGTACACATATTCAAACATGTACGCACAGCAAACACACATAACATGCTGCTATACTATGTGCAACTCCTGCTCCCCACATTGGAGACGTATATGTGCACCGCTGGATTGCACAGCAGGGTGCCATTTAAATCTAACGGGGTTTACATAGAACTCTCGCAAGACATGAGAGAGAGAAAGAGAGCATTACTAAGCCAAGATGTTCCCCACAAGAAGCATGTCATGTCTTACGCTTATTTACGCGCGTGCAACTCCAGGGTGCGTTTGATGCCCAGTGCGATAGAGTATGACATCTCCTCTCACACTGACGCTGAATTTGTTCCACTGATAGAGAGTGAGGGGAATTTCTGCAGATTGGTTCATTTTCTTCACGGCTTATTTGCAGTGTGTGTTTGTCAGATTCGACATAGTAAATGCCACGAAGCCAAGCCAAATGATGCCTATCCAGGCCTGTGAGAGACTGTGTTGTGCTCAAGGGAGCCAGCATTTGGGATTCTCCCACCAATATTAAGTTGTCAGCCAAAAGTGATCCTACTGCTTGTTTTTGTCCTTAAAACAGTTTCTGGCTTTTATTTTTTATCCTTTCATTTTGCACTCATATCTCCGATTCTGTCTTTTCTTCTCACATGCCTAAATTCCTATCCTTAGCCGTTTTTTCGACAAGGATCCACCTTTGAAATCCTCTGCAGTTTCTCATGCCTGACTTCTTTTTTCCCGTACCCATCGGAGAGCACACAAACTGTCCAGCTGTACTCTGAATACAAATATCCGATCCGCTCGAACACAGTGATTTTGAAGAATAGGCAACAGAATTCAAAGAGTTTGTTACAGGAGTTGTTCTTGAGCATTTCAAGAACAACAGCATGAGTCTACCTCAGCCTTGGGCATACGAGCTCCTTCAGTTTGTAGTCAACCACGGATGCACAAATGAGCCAAAACAAGGTTGCAACAGTAGGGCAAACAACGACCAAACCCAAGGACAATGACAGGTTTTTGGGATGAGCTTTCAACAAATTGGATGTTCATTGTGGATTTGAAGTGTTTCCAAAAGCCGAATTTACAAAATATAGAATCTAGAAAAGGTTTTAAAAGCAATGACAGGAAATGTCAGATATTTTGTGAAAATGCACTCACTTGCTTGGATTGTAATTAAAATGAAGCTACTGTTAGCAAATGGGTAACTTTGCTTATGAAATGTAATTTTTGTGAAATACTGCACGTACAAATAAGCTACACATTTACAGTAGAGACAGGAAATGTTAGAAATATTGTCATGAATCTCTCAGCAAAGAATAGTATTCCCCAAAATGCTGACTGTTCCTTTTAATCTGACTGCAGAAGCGTACAGGTAGAGGATTATTGCTAATAACAACTATTATAGAGCATTGTTTTTTCTGCAGTGAATGGGAGCACCGAGGTGCATATTTGTATGTATTTGAATTCACACGTGAAACACATACACCCACATACACGCAGACCCCATCTGCTCTTCCTTGACTATATATCACATATAAAACTTACAGCCAAAGCATGGAGAG